CATATACATATACATATACATATACATATACATATACATATACATATACACATATATACACATATATACACACCACTCATCTTGAAACACAAAACGTCTGCATGAATTTGTTCATTTCTTCCCATAACCTTTTTGTAGCATTTCCAAACAATGGCCGTAAATAGATTACTTTGTGTATCCAGAACGAACGCTTCACACCGAATTCACAGAAAAATTTTTGCCACAGTTTGCTAAATTAGCTTGTATCACCATTTCATATACACTTTGACCTCTGTTTCAAGTCCTCAGAAATGATACACTCATTTTTGACAGGCTTCACCCCTTCCTACTTTCTGTGTTCAAATCCTTATGATTCCAGGCTTTGGACTTCATGATGGTAGAGAGTAGATGGCCCAAAATTAAACACAGAGGAAGTTAATTCTGAAAAACATCATCAAGGAGAATTTAAATTGCGCCAAATTGTCCTAAATGACGAGGGGGGTGGGAGAACCATCCCACATGTTCTATGATTGCAAAGTAACAAAAAAAAAAGTAGCCTACATCTCCTAAATGTTTCAAATTAGATAATATAAGATAAATTTAGGAGAGCGAATTACACAATATTGGAAAACTATCCTCTAATTGCCATGTGTAATTTGTATAATGCTCTCCTCCAGCTGTACTCTACAAAATGAGTATGAAAAATGCTGTCGTTTGTTTGGGGGAGTTGATCATGATTGAATGCTGCCATCCTGGCTACCATATTAAGCATCATGTAATGGATGACTAAATAATAAACATTCTCTCTCTTTTTTTTTTTTAAAGATAAACCTACGCGATATCATTGGAAAACAGCCCCATCCTGCTTTTCGGCCTAGTGAGCCAGGAGGTTGTAGAGGCTTTATTGACTTTGAGCAGGATGCAGTTCATTCAGGTAAGGGTGGATTCCAGCCCCATACTTACTGATTCTCATGGAAGGCTCACCTTTCTCCTCCATTACTTCTACAGTCTGCTAGAACTTAATCTTACCTAATTAAAAAAGTTTCGAAAGTCCTTTTCTAGAGGTTTATTTGATTAAAAAATAATCCATTTGGCATTTACCCATCTGTCTTAATCTCATTAGTTTTGTTATTTAGGTTATAATAAACCTCAATTAAGATGGATTCTCGGGGAAAAAAAAGCAAATGAACTTTTATTGAATTTCTAAGATGAAAGGAAGTACTGCATGGTTAGAGATTGCCCACACCTTAGTGGTTTTCTTTTTTCTTTTGATATAGGGGAAAGGGGAAACAATTGGAAATGACCTTCCACTGCTGCCTGGGACCCCAGAGAGGTTTCTGTCCTGGTTTCCAAAGCAGCCCTGGTCCCCGTAATTAATACAGATTGCTTCTCCTGAAAACCCAAGTTTCCCTCTCTTCAGATTGTCATCTGAGGCTTAGGGCAGTTAGGGAACCTGTGACATCTGATTTTAGCTTTTGAGTCACTCAAAGAGTCGAGCTTCGAAGTTTGGGCCATCTCCAGTTTGAAGCCAGGAGGCAGTGAAAGGATAATATAGAAGAGAATAGAAGCTGGAATTGTCTTGAATTCTGTGCGTTCATGTACCTTCTAGTAATGGTTATGGATGTAGGGAAGGGGCACTAGGTAGACTTGCTTCCATATGAGTTCAAATTTAAGGGTTGCCTCCAGAAGTTAAACTGTAGGTGGGGGAGGGCTGGAGGAATAATTTTTAGTAATGAATAGAAAGACGACACCTGCTATTTTTTATGAATAATTCCTTTCAATTTGAAACAGGGTTAGATCAGGCAAACATGCATCTGTTAAGAATTTGTTTTGTAGCTTTGTGTTATGCTAGGCCCTGTGGATACAAAGAGAGAAGTGATATGGTCCTGGCCTTCATTGATTTCCGAGACCTGGGAAGCCATTTGCTTTGGGACCTGCCCACTGATTGTAAATGTGATTCCTTTTATTCCCTTGACACTAAAGAACTTTGAAGAGGATTTGGGTCAAGCAATGAAGAAACTCTTAATGTCATCAAACCAGCAGCTTTCATTTCAGGAGGAAAGTGAATTGAGATAATGGAAGTATTCTTAGCACAGGGCACTCAGCTGGTGCTTGTGGATAGACAGAGGCAGAGTCGTATTTATGCAAACAGAGCATTAGTACCAGTGAACTTGGTGAGAGGTCTCTGGCAGGATATCAGAGAATTCTGTCTTCCACCCCGGTCTCTCAGAGTGCAGAGAAGATCTTAATAGACTGGAATGATGGGTCACATTGAATAGAGTTAATTTTATAGGGAATAAAAGAAAATACCATAATTGTTTTTTTTTTTAAATCATGAACTACAGAAGCAAAAGGTGGGAGAGGCCTGGGGATTTCAGTGACTGCAAGCTCCAGCAAAGGGGCATGGTGGTGGGATTCAGAGATACCTGTCTGTGGCTGCCCTGGTAAGATCCTCGTTTAAAACCAACCTGGCCCTTTTAAATGTGTGCATGTATATATGAATGAGTGTGTGTGTGTGTTGGGTATGTATTTACGTGCGACTGTGTTGTGTAAGTGTGTATGTATGTATGACTGTGTTTATGTGTGTGTGTATGTGTGTGTGTGTATGTGTGAATGTGTGTATGTATCTATGTGAATGTGTGTGTATATGTGTTGGCTATGTTATTAGAATAGAATTTGTGACCCCATTTGGTGTCTCCTTGGCACATACTGGAGTGGTTTGCCATCTCCTTCTCCAGCTCATTTTACAGATGAGGAAACTGAGACAGAGTTAAGTGACTTGCCCAGGGTCACACAGCTAGGAAGTGTCCGAGGCCATATTTGAGTCTTCCTGACTCCAGGCCTGGCACTCTCTGTACTGGGGTGTTCCTTAGCTGCCCATCTGAAATTAACTTGTCCCACATTCAGGGAATCCTTGGATGACAAGATATATGATGTTATTTTGCTAGATTTTCCTTCTTGCAGGTACATTTATCATCTTAAAAATATGAAATTGTTTTCATCATGATGAAATGTGCACGTTGCCTTGATGGCATAAAAAATGTTCCTTGCTTTTTGGCCATATGATCACAAAATCATAGACTACCGGGGTTGCAAGGAACCCCAGAGGTCACTGAGCCCACCCCATACTGAGAACAAGGGTCCTCTCTATAGCCCTGGAGGCTCTGTTCTCTCATTGTACCTTCTATGATGAAGGCAGCCTATTCCATGGGTACAGCTTAGAATTACTATCAATGTGGGGCAGCTAAATGGCACAGTGGATAGAGCACTGGCTCTGAAGTCAGGAGGACCCGAATTCAAATCCAGCCTCGGACCAAACACTGGCCACTTACTAGCTGTGTGACCCTGGGCAAGTCATGTAACCCCAATTACCTGAAAAAAAGAATTATTATCAATGTTTTTCTTACTTTTTTTCACCAGACTTGTAATTCCTTTGGTGAGAAGCTCCCTTGACCAATGCAGGTCTCTCTGTCTCTATAACTTGTAGTCTTTGTGATTTTTTTTTTTTGCTTTTTTTTGTGAGGCAGTCGGGGTTAAGTGACTTGCCTAGGGTCCCACAGCTAGTAAGTGTCAAGTGTCTGATCTGAGGCCAGATTTGAACTCAGGTCTTCCTGACTACAGGTCTGGTGTTCTATCCACTCACTGCTCCACCTAGCTGTCCCCATAACTTCTAGTCTTGAGAGAGTTGCCTGTGGCCTGGAGGAGGGATGGGATTTGTCCCGGGTCATGCAGCCAGGGTCAGATGGGTCAGATGTGAGACCCGAACTCAGGGCTTCCTGACTCTGATCCCAGCTTCTCTCTCTACTAGGTCACATTGCTTTTAATTTTCCTTCTATTATAGCAGAAATCTGACTTCTCATGACTTCCACTTATTTTTCCTTTTCTGCTCTTTGGGACCATAGAGACTAAGTCTAATGTGTCTTCCATCTTACAGCCCTTCAGATAATTGAAGATTGGCATCATTCCCCCCTTACACACACACACACACACACACACACACACACACACACACACACACACACACACACACTACCCCATTCACTTGGAAAGTGCTAAAGGCTTTACTTTGCTTTTAACTTTAAATTTTTAAAAATGTTATCTAATTCTAAAATTGAATATTTGTGTCAGAATGAGTCAGTTGTAGGAGTTTGTTTCTTAGAGGAGAGGACATGGGAGGGAGAGAATGTTAATTTCTTGTTAGTAGAAATTTAATTTAAAAATTACAAAATGGTTGCAAAGATCAAGAAAAGGAAGTGTACACTTAATGAGGCTTTGCTTTTCTTTAAAAAAAAAAATCTGACAGTTTACTCATAATGCCTTACCCACAGAGAAAATCTGACATTCCTTTACTCCCTCCCTCCCTCCCTGTCAGCCCTGTAGTTCCCAGTACCTTGATGAAGACATTTCTCCTAAAAGATGATTCTATCCAAATGGGGCTTTTGGCAATAAGAACTCCCGTTTGTATCCTGGGGAAGTGCAGCTCCTACCCCAGAGTTCCCATGTGTCTTGTGGTGTGGAATATCCATGGGACTCCTTCAACTGGCCCCCAGGTGATAAATGCTCTCTCTGACATGTCTGGGGCTTACGTGTGAGCGTGGAGGGAACAGTCAGAAGGGTGAAAATGTAGATCCTTCAAGGATACAACAATTATGACTTTAAATCGTCGTGATATACCTCTAAACAAAATTTCATAGTGAATCTACATTTTGATTAATAAAAGCAAAAAAAAAGCATTTATGGAAATCATGTTGGTCTTCCAGAAGGTTAAAAGACTTTTCAAGTCTAGGAATAGGGGGAGGCTATGTCTTAGCCATTATGACAGATTCATCTAATCATAAAGTTAAAAAAAAATTATGCCTATCTTAGAAAACTATTTTTGTGAAAGTATTGGATTTTGCAGTATTTTGGTGCCATAGTTGAAAATGGACATTCTTGAACTCGACCTCTGCCAGGTGGTCAGTTAGATGACTAATGTGACCTATTCCTCCATTAACATCCTCCTCTGATGCCTCGTGGTGTGAGGTCAAGCTCTGGAGAGTCCTACCAAGCTGGAAAGGCTTTTGAGTACATGTCTCATGATGGCATGATGATATGCCATCCTATCTGGCTCCTACCCAGAGAAGGAAGAATCTTTTTGCCACTTCCACTCTTGAAGACAGTCTGCTAAGTCATAAATGGATTGCTATCTATGTCAGTGAAAAGACATCAAAAAAAAAAAAACCATGAATCCTCCAAGGAAGTTCTCTGTCCTGAGCTGCAATAGACTTAAAGAGAAAATGGTTGGAGTGTCAGCTGAGAATATCAACATAAGAGGAAGCTAGGAGGCACAGTGGCTGGAGCTCTGGACCTGGACCCTTACTAGCTTTGTCACTTAAACTGCTCTGTGCCTCAGTTTCCCTATCTGTGAAATATGGATAATAATAGCCTCCCAGGATTGTTAACTTTGAAGTGCTATATGAATCCTAGCTATTACCACCATCAGTAAACTAAAAAAGAGCAATTTTCTGACTCTTTCCCTCAAAATGTCGGTAACAGCAGAACCATGGTAGGGTTCAGTTGCACAGCACATATTTACATACTGGAACATGCCAATGTGCATGGTTCATGTGGTAGCATAGTAGCATGAGGTGTCCTCATATGTTGGGTAATAATAGCTAGCCTTTATATATTGTTTAAAGGTTTGCAAAGCACTTAACATGTTTCATATACCTGTAAAGTAGGTGCTATTATTAACCCCATTTGATGGTTGAGGAAACTGAGATGGAAAGAGGTTAAATGGCTTGCCCAGGATCACACAGCTAGTAAGTGTCTGAGGCAGGATTTGAACTCATGTCTTCCAGACTCAAGGTCCAATACCTTATGCGAGGTGCTGCCTGCTGTAGTAATGAGTCCTCCCAAATGCAGAAGGGAAGGGAGAATATGGAAATGGACATATAGACAGAAGGAAAAGGAGAAAATGGTAGTGATATGATGGCAACCGAGAGGAATGCCTGTTGTTCCATGGCCTTGGTATCCAGTGTGTGTGTGTGTGTGTGTGTGTGTGTGTGTGTGTGTGTGTGTGTGTACCAGCCTTAGTACCCTGGCGTGAAGAGGACATGATCTTGGCCCTGATGTGAGCCAGAGTCGGCCTTCACATGAGCCAGAACAGAATTCAGTTGGGAGACACAGGGCTGGGAAGAGAACGTGCAGGGGAAACTTGGCAGGTGAGAACCGCACCAGCCCGCCTGCGAAGGGAAGGGGCTAAGCTGGGCTGAGCGTCACAGAATCCAGGCTGCAATACCTTTCTTCTTTTTGATGACTTAATTTGCCTGTGTGTCTCCTTCTGAGATTGTGTGTGTGTGTGTGTGTGTGTGTGTGTGTGTGTGTGTGTGTGTGTGTGTGTGTAGGTGGCAGAAAAAGCTGTGAGTGGCTAACCTGGAGACCCAGTGTGCACACGTACACAATGCTGCTATTGTGTGTGGACACTTTTCCAACAATGTGCTTGCTGTTTGCCGCCTCTGCTGTGGCGTGAAGGCAGTTGTGGAGACGGGCACGCTCCCTCTCAAGAGTAAGCTGGTGTGCCAAGAACTCTCTGGCTTGATTTAATCTGCAGTTGCTTGACTTGCTTTCCTTAAAGGCCACAGGGTGGGCAGTTCTTCCTGGCTCAGAGTCCCACCATCTTCCCAACCCCAACCACGGGGACCAAGGACTAATCAGGAGTTACTATGTCAAGTGTGTCCTTTAACAAGACGCCAGAGCACGTGTCCCTAGCAAGGACCATCTTTGCTTTTCTCCTGGTGTCCCTAGCACTTAGCAACGGGCTTTGCACCTAATAAGCACTTAATAAAACTTGTTTTTTTCATTCATTTATTTATAGAACTGAGGAGGAAATACATTCCAGGAACAGAGAACAGTCTGGGAGACTGTGGAATGGTTAGGAAAGTCTGGCTAGAACTAAGTCAGTGTGAAGGACGGTAATGGGAAATGTATGGAAATGTAGCTTGGAACCAGGTTTTGGAAGGCTTTAAAAGCCAGGCTAAGAAATTTATATTTTGTCTCACAGGCAATAGAGAGTCACTGAAATTTTTTGGAAAGGGGAGTGCCATGAGGAGACCTGTCCCTTAGGAAGATGATTTTGTCATCTGTGTAGAGGATGGATTAGAGAGTGGAGTATCTGAACATAGGGAGACCAGTTAAGAGGCTGAGTCTAGGTGAGACACAACAGGGGCCCAATTGGCCATGTGAAGTGGAGAATAGGAAGCAGATGTGGGAAATGTTTTGGAGGTAAAATCAATAAGACTTTGTCATTGATTGGGTGTGGGATTTGTGGGAGAAGGAAAAATCAAGAAACAGTCAAATTTTGAACCTGAGTAACTGGGAGCTGGGTGGTGTCCTCAACCAATAAGGCCACTGAAAAAGGAGTGAGTTAAGGGGCTTATAGGCTGACCTTTGAGTCATGCTTTAA